GCACAATGACAGAACCTCTCTTCTCCTCATCTGTACTACCAAAGATCCACTCACCAGCAGCTAATGCAATAATATTAAAAGGAAGGTACAGTAGATTCAATACAAGATGTGCCAGTATGAGAGAAGTGAAGAATATTGTTGATGATTGCTTCCAGAAATTCCTCTGAGTGATTGTAATGAGGAGTACAGCACCATTAGCTATCAGAGCTAGTATCATCTCAGTGGCAAACACAGCAGCAAGTACAGGACCATTAACATCATCATTGATAGTAAAGTTGTTCTCACTTGGAATTAACATTTTTGCTTGGCTAATGTAGACTAAATGATCTAAATAATCTCTATGACCTCTGTTGTCGTATTATGTACTTCATTGCAGCCTTGTATGGTTTCTATTGTGGTATGTCACAGTTAAATCTCAGCTTTATATAATACAGTTTGCAATAATTTTATATCAGTTTCTACTCACATTTTTAGAATCAAAGTAGATAAAGTAGCTTATTTTACATAATTTTAAGTTTTGACACAAAACTATATAGCTGAAGCAGTAACAGTAGATCTACTTATGATGAGCTTGTAGCTATAAATAGATTGGAAAATTGTTATGAGGGTGTACACTGTACAGGAAGCTTTTTGAGTCTATTATCTGATTGTAGTCATCAATACACATGCATTAGTGTGCATGGGTTTACATGCATTCCTCTTGCATGAGTCCATGCAGGTATCCTATTACTGTAGCATCTGTGACCCTAGTATAGATCTATATCTACACACAATCATTCTAGCATTGTACATAAAATTCAATTTCATCAGTGCTGTTAAGTCCAGCATGTTCAATGACAAGTGACGATGTAAATGATTAGCACAAATGGTTGGCAATCACTCCACTATAACCAAAACAAAGTAAAGATGAGAAGGAAAAGAGCCAGAAGGAATCAACAGAACAAAGAACAAAAAAACATGAACCTAAGTAAAAAAACATGGATGGGGAGAAATCATGTACATGTACAAAAGAACATTAGAAATCATAGCTAAATAGTTTCACTAGTTTACCACAATTGCATAATGGCAAGGCATTGGAGAATGTTAGTATTTTTTATCTAATAAATTTACCAACACTACAAAAATGAGTCAAGAAATGACATTAAAAACCAAAAAGTCAAAACCAACTGAAGATAAGACAATAACAGAAAGATCTAGGGAAGAAAAATAGTTTGGAATTATTGTTCATTTTGAGATGGTGAATACAGCCTTTTCCCAATCTGTGACATTACAGATTTTTTAAACAAGATCAGAGCATTCTTAATATCTGGTCGAAAGTACGCTTGAATAAGTGGACTTGCAACAGTGATGAACTGAAATGTGACCATGTCTGCTGCATAAACATTTCATCAATCTTAACTACTGGGTATAGCATGAGCATTATGTAAGATGGTCCATAGCAGAATGAATATGCAAGGAACATTGATCCAAATATTCCAGAGTCTTTTCTTTCATGATGCATAAACACTATTATCTCCAACTATTTCTGATTGATCATTAATTAATAGACCTACAACTAAAGCAGAATGTCCAGATTGATGCGATAATATTATGATGATAAAAATTATGTGTAAAACAGCATGAATGAGGCTCTAAACTGAGTTTTGAATTAACAATGGAATGCAGGGACTACATAAAAACTCATAGCTATATTTTTTAAAACCAAGTAATGGCAGCATAAGCAACAAAATGTACAAAATCCATATAGCAATGGTGAGGGTTAGTGCTACCCAGGGTCTCATAAACCACTTGTGAAGATGTGGTTTTATAATAGAAAGAAACTGATCAAATGATATAGCAGCTAATGTTTCAGTAGTAACTGCAGTATTCAACTGTATGATTAATGCTGAAATTATACAAGTTATGCTTCTTCTTTCAGAAGTACTGCCAAATATCCCCTCTTCAACAAATATTTCAACAAAATAAGAACTGCTGCTACTGATGGAGTGTTGTAATCACCAGTATAAATATAAGTAAAGTTGCTTTCCATTGCTTTGCAATACTGGTACCTCCATGCAATTTGGTTTTACTAGCAACGTTTACATGCTTTATAAAAGCACAAATAAGAAATTGATGGAATGTTAGTCTAATGTTTTATTACTACATATCAAATCGAGTCAATTTGACTTCCTTGATCCATCACTATATCCTGTATAGTAGACTAAAAGTCGATAATAATAAACAATTTAATGAATTATGTGAACTCATGCATGCATCCATGATCAGATTGGGTTTAAAGGAAATTGCATACTGAATAAGTAATGATACAAATCTACATGCTAAACAGCATTAAATTTTAAAGTTATTTGATAATCTATTAGTGCTAAAACTTCACATTTTCCAGCAGATAAAGCAGCAATTGCTCAATGGTCAATACTATCGCGATGAGTGCATGGTTTCGGCCTGGTGTGA